ACGTGCATAATGAGCGCTAAAGACCTGTAAAGGGCGCATTCAGCGCCGGCAGCGATGCGCCAGCTGGCGTTGACTTCTCTCTAATTTGTCACCGATCGACAAAGCGCGACAATACCGCATTGGGAACGCTACAATGAGCCGCGACGGCCCCAGTAATAATCGCACCTAATTTGACAAAAAGGCGCGGCCATCAATAAACTGGGCGGCAGCGGCGGCGGTCCCGCCCCGTCACTCGACCGGCGCTCATGAATCGGGCGCCCTTTGTCGAGCCGGTCCGGCTCGCGGCCATTCACAGGCGCGGCGCACATTCCGCGCGCCCGGCCGAGGCGCGCGAAACGGCCGCCGGTTCGGCACCACCGAGGAGCACCGCACGACGGCGTGTCATCGCCGCGAACTCCGCACGACGGAACACCCATCGCCACGAACTCCGCACGACGGAACGTCATCACCACGGACACAAACACCACGGAACACCATCGCCACGAACTCCGCACGACGGAACACCATCACCACGAACACACACCATGGAACACCATCGCCACGAACACAACACCACGGAACACCATCGCCACGAATACAACACACGGAACATCGTCGTCACGAACACCGCACGACAAAACACAATCACCATGAGCACAACATCCACGGAACACCATCACCACAACTCCGCACGATGAAACACCATCACCACGAATTCCGCACGACGGAACACCATCACCACGAAACAACACCACAGAATATCATCGCCGCGAACTTCCGCACGACGGAACACCATCACCACGAACACAACACCACAGAACATCATCGCCACGAACGCCGCACAACAAAACCCCATCACCACAAACTCCACACGACGGAACACCATCGCCACGAGCACCGCACGACGGAATACCATCGCCACGGACACCACATGACGGAACACCATCGCCACGGACTATTATGCACAGCATCGCCATCAACACCGTACGGTGGAATACCAGTGTGATCAACACCCCACGCTGGACACGGCCTTCAAGAGAGGCTATATAAAAGGCCGTGGAGCTCTTGTGGAATGGCTCAGAAGTTTCTTCACACAACATTCAACATACTGATCAGAAAACTTAAACCAAAGTAAGATTTAATGTAGTGCTATTTGCAATCAAGACATCATGAGTTACATTCGTTATTCGATGCCAAGCCCCACGTTATCAACGATTTTTTCTTCGGGGAGAACGCAGGATCTGGATTTCAAATTTTGCACGGGTATAGACTTTTCAACTGCATCATACCCGAAGAGAAATAATCAGTGACAGTAACCGTGCCAAACTGTTACTACTAATAAGGGGGGATGAGCAGCTATGAGTGATGCCGGATTTTATCCGTGCATTCCAAGCCGTTTTTGTATTAGATCCAAGTGCACTAACAGCACATGCGTTTTTTTCCTGTGTTATGGATGGCGTAGTAATGCCAAGCTCATATTCCGTCAGTTCTGCGCCAAGTTCGGTGTTGATTGTTGAAGATTTCCAAATGTTAAGTCTGTACAGCTGTTGACAAGCCTGGTGGAGCCACCAGCTATGAAAATAGATCCTGGTTCAGATACGCTTAGCTTCGTCGTTATTTGACGTCAGCTTAAGTGAAGTTCATTCGCATTCACAGGAAAAATATCACTACAACACAAATGTCACGAAACTATTTGGATCTAGAAGGGTTAAAAGCGATACACAAGCCAGACAAGTATGGGATACCTTACAATTTCTGCTCAGTGGAATGCCAAAATGCATTGTCAAGCCATGCTTTTGCCCCGTTTTGACTTGCCAGACGTCTGGAGGATTGTAATAAGAAAGCCCCCATGATATGGTTAGACAGTCCTGAGTGGCTCAACATTAGTGCAGCTACTTTTTGACGGTATAGCCCCAAGAGGCAAACGACGTGGAACACTGCCGCTAGGTCATGATGAAATTTCGCTCTAGCCAAGCCTGTCTTTTTTGCAACGCCATGTCAATCTAGTTAAATCAAAATCTACCAAAACTGCTACAGTACATGGCCAAAGGTCGGCACCGATAAAAACCAAGTACCGGATATTTATGAATATTTGAAGGTTGATGAATGGTGATGTAGATTTTACCTGTTGGTCATGTTGATTGCATCTGTTGGTTATGTTGATCGTTCCTGTTGGATATGTTGACAAAAGCTTTTGGCTAGTGTCATTTATATTGAGGCTACAGCAAGTGCGATAGATTCAAGACTCACTGCAGATAAGAGCTTGCGGCATATTCTTTGTCGCGTAGCGCATTTTTTGGGCAAAATTAGCCACCCGTAGTCTATATGTAAAAAACCATTTGCTATAGAGATGATTTATTTTCTTGCGCAGTCGAAATGTTAAACGCTTTTGACTTTGAATGACCACATCTTCCTAAGGTCTACAGAACCAAGCCAGAGCGAGCCATTCAGATCATTCTGTATCTTTCCCGGAAGCAAACAACTGACCCACCTCGGCCCGCCAAGCTGGTTAGCACATGGTGACACGTGGCTTTACGTACCTGCCTAAAAACATGCGCGGATGGAATTAAATATCACAGGTGGCGAGACCATACAGCCACAGGGCGCGCAGGCTTATTAAAAGATGGCAGCACAATACAGTCACAGATGGCAGTACCACCCAATCTACGAGGCGCCCAGGAGTGGGCGGGCTGCAGCACTGAACTGCAGCTGAACGAACCCTCACCCAGGGGACCCAGCATCTTATCAAGAGGACAACGCGACGCCGTTTTGCTTTCTCATTTCTCCGTGAAGAAAGTCCTCAGCTTTTGGCCACTCGATTTTTAAATTGGTATTTAATTTCCACCGCGAACTTTTTTCCTCTGGTTTTCCTCTGCGCACCGTTAATAGCTCGACATGGTATGTAAGTATATGGGACGCGATTATATTCTTTACGAATTGGTGAATCCTGCCAGTCTTATGCTGAGAAGCTCAAAGAGCACATGACACAACGACTTAAGGTTGGCTGGTAACTGCGCTCGAAGGCTGGCAAGGTAACAACGTAAATGACAAGATTTCGTCAGCTTACGGGTGGTGAAGACTGCAAGAGATTGTCTTTGGTAGGTGGCTCACCTTACAGGGAGTGGTTGAAAACAAAACCGGTCACTTGCACACGAATTGCAAATAAATATGAACCACGCAACATCTCATGACACGTAAATCTGTGTCAATGGTGCAGCAGAAAGCGGCGAGGTCAGTAAAAGTTGTAAGCCTTTCATGTCATATGCTTTCTGCCGGTTAATACAAGGCTAGCTCCCAGTGTCAAATCAAATACTTAGTGTCATTAGGATGAGAGCAAAACAAGGCTTTGCTGCATGTTTGGAGTACAAATACGAAGGAGTACAACTTTGCTACACCGGTGCTGCATCATTTGAGCATAAGGCGACTGCTGGCGGTCCGCAAGATGTGAACGGACCTTAGAACAACATTGTCTGCAGCGTTCATTTCTTCGAGAGATTAGATTCAAAGAAGTAAAAGCATTTGACCATATGATTATACAAAAAGAAAATTCTGGGCTATATTTCAACCAAAGCATCATTCCAGTCAAGGACATAAGTCACAATCATGGCAAAGGCATGAGTTCGTGTCCAGGCTTCGGCACATAACCAGGTAATTACCTTGGTGGGAGCGAGATAAACGTCAACACAGGGCATGGCTCGATTTGTGTGGTGTCACGTTCTAAAGGAAACTTATGCCATAAAATAGTTGCTAAAAGCGCTGGAAGCTGTTTATATCCAGGACAAAGATTCAGCACCCAGGAAGTAGATGAGGCGCACTGGTTATGAGATGGTCAGCTTCTAACACTTCGAAAATGGCCATTACAAGGGTCATGCCGTCGGAGGTCTGGGTCGAAGGCATTTTTTTAACACGCGCTCGGGTGGGGGGGAGGAGGGTCAAATTTACCCCGCAAGGTTTTTCCAGAATGGTTTCCGAACGGCGCGGCGTGCTTCCGCCACACTGAGGACCGCTCCACTGTAACAGTCAACGGAAGAAGGCCTGCTTCCGCCACACTGAGGGCTATCTCCATTGCACGGGTCACGGACTGGCTTCCACGGCACAATGATTCACCGAGTTTGGAATACTGAGGTTCCTCTCAGCTTTTTATGCCCATAGCGGACAAATTGTTCGGATATTTCTGGGCCCCTCCCGGCCAGCAAACAAGAGCAGCACCACCGCGGTGGCACCACCGCGACATCTGAGTCACCACTTGATGTGGCTGGGCGCCACCAGCAGTGGACCCGCCACATCAACAGCTGACCTGTAAGGATGGATATAGCACAGGTGACGGCACCCTCCCGTCACGCACTGCACGATCTCAAGAGCTGGCAGCACAGGCGATCCCAAGAGCTGGCAGCACAGTCGAGCTCAAGAGGTGGCAGCACAGTCGAGCTCAAGAGGTGGCAGCACAGTCGAGCTCAAGAGGTGGCAGCACAGTCGAGCTCAAGAGGTGGCAGCACAGTCGAGCTCAAGAGGTGGCAGCACAGTCGAGCTCAAGAGATGGCAGCACAGTCGAGCTCAAGAGGTGGCAGCACAGTCGAGCTCAAGAGGTGGCAGCACAGTAGCCGTGCAGATGACGGCCGTGTCCTGCGCGCCGGATGGGCGTGGAACATACTCCGCTTCCAGGACGGGCTGTCCGCGACGACACACGCTGGCAGCCGGAGGTCAACCGATAGGAAGCCTCATCCGCCCGGCGGCCAGACCCCGCCCGGCCGGACCCTGCTGGCTGGCAATGGTCCCCCTACGCATAGGATGTTGGATAATGCAGCGATCGTTGCCAACTCACGTGTGCCATTTTTGGTGCATGTTAGACGTTGGCAATGCATTTCATTGCATCATTTGTATTAACAATGTGCTCGATATTACTCGATACCGTATTTACATCCGTTTTGAAACGTACGTAAGTTTGCTGCTGTTCTCTCATTCACCTGTATTTTCAGAGCCTCTGGTTGCTCAATCACGGTGCCGCCGTCCTTTCAAATGTGTGTACTTAGAGTTTATTTCAATAACATGGCATCGCCCACATCCGAACACGTGAAGACGCCTCCGCCAGGGAGCTAGCGGCCACCACCCGGCGCCCTCGGAGCCGCATGCCCCGACGCGTACATGCACCCGTCTGATGGTCTGCTCCGCACCTGTGTGCCTGTGACCGTTGTCGTGTCCACAGGCATCCACGGTCAGTTGTGGGGCCCGTGGAGCACGCCTGACACAGCGGTAGTAACACGATCGAAACCACACCCGCCTCTGGACACACGGCAGTGGCCCGTTGTGGGGCCCGTAGAGCACGCCTCACACAGCGGCAGCAACACGACCGAAACCACACTCGCCTCTGGACACACAGCAGTCATGTCCACAGGCATCCACGGCCCGTTGTGGGGCCCGTAGAGCACGCCTGACACAGCGGCAGCAACACGATCGAAACCACACCCGCCTCTGGACAACGGCAGTCCTGTTCGAGGGCGCTCCGCTAGGCGGCAGCACCAACTGGCCCTGCTTGGAGAGGCCGGCCAGGGGGCGGAGGGAGGGGGGGGGGGACGGAGCCGCGCCGGCTACACAGATGGCAGCACAGGGCAGAGGGATAGGGCGTCTCTGTTGGTAGGGTCTCTCCAGGCCCACATCCCTACTGGACCACCTGTCGGGGGCTATCAGGCACCACCCAGCGGGGCGACAGTGCGACGCTCACATCGATATGACGACGACGTGCGACTGCACAAAATCATGCGACATCAACGTCTGATATACGCCTACGGATGCCGAGGGAAGCCGCTCAGTCTTTATTTCACAATCACGCCACATCGACAGCCGGCTGGACAGAGCGCGAGCCGCGTGGACGTCACGGGGCCCGGGGCACGGGGGCGCGGAACCGGGAGGACACCACAGGGACTGGGGCCTGAGGGCGCGGAACCGCGAGGACACCACAGGGACTGGGGCCCGAGGGCGCGGGACCGGGAGGACGTCACAGGGTCTGGGGCCTGGGGGCGCGGGACCGGGAGGACGTCACAGGATCTGGGGCCCGGGGGCGCGGGACCGGGAGGACACCACAGGGACTGGGGCCTGGTGGCGCGGAACCGCAAGGGCACCACAGAGACTGGGGCCCGGGGGCGCGGGACCGGGAGGACACCACAGGGACTGGGGCCTGGGGGCGCGGAACCGCGAGGACACCACAGAGACTGGGGCCCGGGGGCGCGGGACCGGGAGGACACCAGAGGGACTGGGGCCTGGTGGCGCAGGACCGGGAGGACACCAAAGGGACTGGGACCTGGTGGCGCGGAACCGGGAGGACACCACAGGACTGGGGCTCGGGGGCGCGGGACCGGAGCCCGACAGCGGCTAGGGTGCCACACGAACATATAGTGAAACAGGTGTACGGCGATAATTCGACGACAGATGAATGCGACATGGACGTAATTTTGATTGTCTGCGGGACATACATTTAAATGCAGGTCTGGTAGGGAGCCCAGCCTGAACATCGACACAGCACTCGTCCGTCTGGCCTCAAAACTGCCACGTTAACAACGTACAGCCCGGGGTGACGCTCTGGGCTGCCAGCAGGTGTAAGACATGGAGACCAAGAATGAAACATGGGGACCACGAATGAAGAGTCCGTGACGACCGAGCTACATTTTGTACCTAGGTTTGTTCGGGGCGTTATTGCATGCGTCCACAGGGGTTTGTGAGGCGTGCAGCACACATGGCAGAGCGGCAGTGCTCGCGTCCGGGGGACACACAGTCTACTGCCCCCGCTCTCACGCTCGTCAACAACTCCGCCCGGCACCACGGCGGTCTACGGCACCAGCCTCAATGCACCCACAGTCGTCAAGCGTCCTCCACCACCCACCGCCCTGCTACAGCTACCGCGCGCACCGCCGGACAGGCGCCCCTTAGGGGGCGGCACCTCTCCAGACACAGACACAGCAGGACTATCACTCGGCGCCCGCTTCATCGCCCCGGCCGCACCGAGTGCCGCGCCCCGACCCCACCAGCGCCACCTGTAACTACGCATCGCCGCTAGCGCCGCCTAGCGCCGTCAGAGTTGATCGTCGAGCAGCCGTGCGGTCTCGGCGGGGAAGAGCGCCGCCAGCTGCTGGCCGTCGTCGTGCGAGAGCAGCGACAGCAGACCGGACGAGCCGCGGTCCGGCAGGCCGGCGAACAGCGACGGCGGCGCCGGCGGCCGCTCCGGCGTCACACACTGCGGCAGTCAGACCGGTCCGTCACAGGCGGGTCTGGAGCCGCTCCAACGTCACACACTGCGACAGTCGGTCCGGTCCCGTCACAAGCGGGTCTGGAACCGCTCCAGCGTCACACACTGCGGTAGTCGGTCCGGTCCCGTCACAGGCGGGTCTGGAGCCACTCCAACGTCACACACTGCGACAGTCGGTCCGGTCCCGTCACAGGAGGGTCTTGCCCACAGATCAGGTCATGACAGACTGGTGGTACGACACGGTTGCCATCAGGTCAGGCCACTACAGACGGTGGTGGTACGGCAAGGTCGCTCCCAATTCAAGTGACAACAGACGATGGCGGTACGGTACGGCCGCCGCCAGATCCGGTGACAACAGACGATGGCGGTGTGGTAAGGTCGCCTCCAGGTCAGGTGACAACAGACGATGGCAGTGCGGTAAGGTCGCCGCCAGGTCAGGTGACAACAGACGATGGCGGTGCGGTAAGGTCGTGCACGCATAAGTTGGGCAGATCAAAACGATGACTGGGGTTTTAGGTCGCACCGACTTCTTTGCTCAATACAAACAGTCGTTGGTGTACATTGTTCCGCAATCGAAGACGGCTGCTCCGTCCGCCCCGGACAGCCGGTCGCCGTCAGCGACCAGCGGTGATGACACTGCCAGGACAGGGCGGTCGCGAGACGGCCGCGGCCGACGACTAACAGCCGCTACACCTCAGCGCCCCTGTCCGTCCCGGTAAACAAAGCCGCATATATCAACGCTGTGCTGAACTGCTCACACAACTCATACAACCCAGCGGCGCGTCAGTCCACGGCCGGTTGCCACCCGCGGCTCCATAACCGGCCGCCGGCCCAGGCTGAGGTCTGCAGCCGCCGCACAGCAGGGCATGGCTGACATTTCAGCTGTTGTTGACTGGGGTTTTGGCGTACGCTGACCGCACATATATATATATATATATATATATATATATATATATATATATATATGTATGTATGTATGTATGCATATACATACACATAGATGGATAGATAGATATATAGATAGATAGATAGATACACAGGCAGACAGACAAACAGACAGACAGACAGACAGACAGACAGACAGACAGACAGACAGACAGAAGACAGACCAGACAGACAGACAGACAGACAGACAGACAGACAGACAGACAGACAGACAGACAGACAGACAGACAGACAGACAGAAGACAGACAGACAGACAGACAGACAGACAGACTAGATAGACAGACAGACAGACAGACAGACAGACAGACAGACAGACAGACAGACAGACAGACAGACAGACAGACAGACAGACAGAACAGACAGACAGACGACAGACAGACAGACAGACAGACAGAACAGACAGACAGACAGACAGACAGACAGGAACAGACAGAAAGACAGACAGACAGACAGACAGACAGACAGACAGACAGAACAGACAGACAGACAGACAGACAGACAGACAGACAAGACAGACAGACAGATAGAGCAATTTCGTGTTTGTCCTGTCCAAAAGCTGGACGTGGGCCTATCCTCGCATGCTTCGACAGCGGTTCTCTCACTAATTTTTACCGCATTCATTTTAGGCTATACCTTTCGCCCTTCAAACGCAAACATACCATTGTAAGCCTATCGATTATCCATTTGTCACATTACACAACTCTGGAACTAGGGTTGCATGCCGAAACAAACAGCTGCATTTTTATTGTATAGGCAGCGCACCATTTTGTGGATGCTGTGTGCAAAAACAGTGGCAAGTTCTGCCGGCTTTCCTGCCAATAGTTTCTGCCAGTTTGTTCTGACTGGCTTGGGCAATAACCAACTGGTGGAGCTTAATCAAGCAGGCCGCTATCAATTGTTCCTAGTTGACGGCGACCACCCTGACGGTGTTCCCTTTTCGGAAGGGACAAATCTGAGGTAGATGTGTCTCCCTTACATTACCGCTTTATAAATGTTATACACTTACGCAATGGACGTATATCTCAGGGAGATGGTCAATATTTTGTCGTCCACTGGCATCAACAGCAATCAATTCCACCCATTTCCTTAACAATTTCCAATATCTTGAAACTCCTTTCAACCAGCTCTCATTCTTATTATGCTTCTCAACCCTCAAGGCATGCCAAGACTTGCGATTAACTCATTTTTTACCATCTTTTGCTATTAGCCGTCCTCATTTTCTACATCGGCCACGAATATGCTCCACCACACTTGAGTTACAGCCAGTTTCTGCCCGTTTCGCCACCAACATATTCCGCCAGCCGGTTTTAACCGATTAAAACCGGCTGGCGGAAACCATTTCAGCCAACTGCTGCCAACAATGCCTGAAAGCTGCACTTGCACACACACTGATTGCCGGCCCAACAATGTCCGGACGACACTCGCTCGGCGCTCGCCTGACGCCAGGGCTTTGAAGGGCAGGATGAGGCGGCATTTCCCTAGTGTCCGAAGCAGCCGCCTGTGTGGTGGTGAGTGAAGTAGTCCAGCTATGACTTACGAGCGTTCACGGCAACAGCTAGCAGGTACAGATACAAGTACAGAGGTACAAGTATTGGTAATGGCACTAGCACTCGCGAGTGACATGGATCGCCAATGGCTTTCGAACGTGCCCCACCGACACACCAACGACAGCAGTCTAAATAAGCTTTACATTAGCCTGCCGCTCGTGGGAGACTCAGGATCAGCTCCAGATCTGGGCCACCCTGGTCACAGCCGCTCCAAGCCAGACCTAATCTCTGACCAGAGCCGCTCCGAGCCAGGTCCGATCTCTGACCAGAGCCGATCTAAGCCAGGTCCGATCACTGGCTAGAGCCGCTCTGAGCCAGGTCCGATCTCTGACCAGGGCCGCTCCGGGCCAGGTCCGATCTTTGACCAGAGCCACTCCGAGCCAGATCCCATCTCTGACCAGAGCCAGAGCCGCTCCGAACCATGTCAGAACCCTGGCCAGAGCTGCTCCGAGCGAGCCGCTACGAGCTAGGTCCGATCTCTGGCCAGAGCCGCTCCGAACCATGCCCGACCCCGGTCGCCGCCGAGCGCCGTCCGACTACAAAGCAGACGGAGCTGAGCGGCGGCCCAGAGCTGCGTTACCGACAGACCTTGTGTCCGGGCGGCTCTCTCCGGGCGTGTCGGCGGCCGGACGGGAGGCGCTCTGCTGGCCTGCACCGGCCGCCGGCCGTCCGGCCGTCCGGCCCGGCCCCGCGACGCCAAGGGAGCGGCCGCGGGTCGGCTGCAGGGTGACGGTACTCAGTCTCTTCGGTGACAGGGATGTCCATGCTTTTTCATGCTGTCGAACCCCCGCCTCGAGGTTTTCTGCCTGCTGCTCTCTCCCTCCCCCAGCGTCGGCCAATAAGCACCGAGCCGGACGGCGGCCAGCCCAGCATCTGCGCGTTTCGGGCTGGACAAATCGCCGGGGGCGTGTCAGGGTTCGGGGTCAAAGGGCAACGGATGAGCAGCCAACGAAAGGTTGCGAGTGCGGTGGCTGCCGGGAACCATCATTATGGCAGTGTGAATTTATATTTACATCTTGCACACTCAACTGGATGAGTTTTGGAATGCTGGTCGGCTGACCCTGACCCCTGGCCCGGGGGAGGGGGGGGGGGGGGGCTGGCACAGACGGGCGCGTCGGCGCGGGCCGTCCAGGAGCCGACCATTGTGCCGGTAAGCCTGACGCCTGTTGGAAGGACCCACGGCCGGGCTTGCGGCACCCGAACAGGACCCACGGCCGGGCTTGCGGCATGCGAACTGGACCCACGGCCGGGCTTGCGGCACCCGAACTGGACCCACGGCCGGGCTTGCGGCACCCGAACTGGACCCACGGCCGGGCTTGCGGCACCCGAACTGGACCCACGGCCGGGCTTGCGGCATCCGAACTGGACCCACGGCCGGGCTTGCGGCATCCGAACTGGACCCACGGCCGGGCTTGCGGCACCCGAACTGGACCCACGGCCGGGCTTGCGGTATCCGAACTGGACCCACGGCCGGGCTTGCGGCACCCGAACTGAACCCACGGCCGGGCTTGCGGCACCCGAACTGGACCCACGGCCGGGCTTGCGGCATCCGAACTGGACCCACGGCCGGGCTTGCGGCACCCGAACTGGAGCGCCGACCAGCCACAACACAGCTCCCAGCGTTGATCTCGCCAGTCCTCAGTGAAGACCTCACCGGTCCTCAGTGAAGACCTCACCGGTCCTCAGTATGGAACTCACCGGTCTTTAGTGTGGACCTCACCGGTCTTTAGTGTGGACCTCACCGGTCCTCCGTGTGGACCTCACCGGTCCTCAGTGCAGACCTCACCGGTCCTCAGTGAAGACCTCACCGGTCCTCAGTGCATGCCTCACCAGTCCGCGCTTATTGACACAGGACACACGCTCCGAACTGGGCTGCCAGACAGCAAGCACCGGTCGCCAGTATTCAACGACATGCAATCGAACGCCGGCCAGCAAACCACGACTGTAATGACCGCTGTTTAGCAGCCGTTTAGCAGCTGAGCGACCCGTCGGCGCGATCGTCACCAACTGGACCAGAAGACTGACAGCCGCGACTGAGCCAGGCGGGGCGACACGACCGGCACCGATTACAGGCCGATCAGGCGGAGACCCAGACAGATTGGGCGTCCGACGCTGAGCACTGATGACTTAGACCGGCGGAGCGCGCTATGGCGCGCATCAAGCACAGATCCGGCCCAATTCCCAAATAGCGGAGCGTGATTGAAGAGAGCTATCGCAGGCGGGCTCATCACGTCCGTCGGCGCCAGCGGGGCCGGCGGAAAGTCCTCCCAGTCATCGACCGGCGGCGGCGGCGGAGGCGGCGGTCCTCGGCCAGGGCGGCCGCCCTCAGGCTGCCTCCTCCGCCGGCGGCAGGTGATAGGCGCCGGCGGGCAGGGCTGCCTCGTGCCGAACCCCTCAGGCGGCCTCGTGGCGACCCGCCCTCAAGACGGCTGCCGACGTCCGCGGCGGGACGCGACCCAGCCAGCGCCGGCCAGCTTAAACCGACGCCGAGGCGACACGGCCGCTGCCGGCTCCGTGCGGTCTGAGGCCGTCACAGACATGGCTCGCCCGTCCGTCGGGCAAACGAGGTCGCGGTTGTTTCACTGGCCGCTGGCGCACACGCCGAAGCGGCTGGTGCAGCAGTCTGTCCCTCCGGCGGCGTGTAGCTGCAGCCGTCAACCATCGGTGCCGGCGGTGCCCTGCCGTCGGGCCTGCCTCAGCGAGCGGTGCTGCTGTTTACCTGTCCGTCGGGGCACAGTCTGTAGCCATTGGTGAGATCCTGTCCGGTGACCAACAGCCGGATCAGGGTGGAGTCGTTGTTGCGCAGGACGTCGTCCACCGCCTCCCCCGTCTGCGTCGCCGTCGTCACCTTCAGCACCGTCCTCTGCGGCAGCGGCAGGCAAACATGTCATGGGACCAACCGCATACGGCTGGCAGCAGGCGGACATGATACACGGACCGACCGCACACGGCTGGTTCCCTGCGCCCCGACGGCCACCGCAGCAATGGAGCTATATAATAACGGCCGAGTGTCATACCACCGGCCGCCCACTTCCCGAAACGAGCCGTCACCGGTCGTCGTCCTAATGAGATTTTTTCCCTGATCGTCACACATCGCACGCCGCACGTGACGGCGGATGAAAGTGGAGCCGCGCCAGCACCGCACGATAACCTGCTCGCACTGCCCCGCGCTGAGCTTGTGAATCGTTTCCAATCCCCCGGCAAAATACAGCGCGCGCCACAGCCAGCGGAAATGACACCCGGACGACAGGAGATCGGGTGTCGGCTGAGCACTTCGTCATCAAGGCCGAAGTATGTCCAAAGACATTTCAGGCCGGACGTGCATGTCAGCTCCCCGCTCCCAGGGCGATAAATATAGGCCTCCTGCGACAGGTGACGCCACAGTCAAAACAAGCGTCTGATGATCCACTCTGACCAGCCTTGCCAACAGCCCGGACGGGCGGCGGCATGACAAAGGTCAAGGTGGCCGGGTCACGGCGCCAGCCGGCGGGCACCGGCGAGCACTGGCAGCCTCCACCCGGCCGGGGTAGCCCCGGCGTCGGCCGCTCGCCGTCGGCTGGGCCGCGCCGCCCTGTCAGCGGGCTGCAGCTGGAACGGCCGGTCGGCCAGAGCCGGCAACAGGTGCGCCATGCGCGTCCGCTGTGCGGGGACCCGGCCCCAGCTGGCGCCACAGGCTGGGCAGACTCAGCCCGGGCTGGCGCCACAGGCTGGCCAGACCCGGCCCGAGCCGGCGCCACAGGCTGGCCAGACCCGACCCGAGCCGGGTGGTCAGCAGGGGCCGACCGGCGGCGGACGGCAAGAGCGTGGTCACACCCGCCGGCGGAGCCCACCACGGCGGACGGCGGGGCCACCACGCCATCAGGCACAGTACGGTCGCATCAGTTCGGACACAGAAGTGCTCTGGAGACCATGTCATGTCTGGCATGACAAAAGGCTTCTCTGCTGGCTGCGCGATGTCGGCATGGGCCAGACCGTGCAGCGGTATAACTGGCGCGCATGACTGGCCTACGGTGGCGATGTAGCTATGACTTCGATCACGCTTCGTGCCCCATTAGTCACAGACCATGACTGCTCTGGCCAGACAGTTGAGTCCGCCGCCCGTCTCTGCCGTTGCGGAGACCTGACAGCTGCCGCTCGGAGACGGACGGGGAGCGCGTGTGGCGGGGTGTGGAGCTGACACGCGGCGTGGCGGCGCGTGTCAGCCTGCTGGCGGCGACCAGCCAGCCGCCCAAGCGGCGCGCGCGCATGAGACGGTGCCGACAGGTGCGCCGGCCCAGCTCTCCACGGCCTGTCCGGCGCCGGCCCAGCTCTACACGGCCTGTCCGGCGCCGGCCCAGCTCTCCACGGCCTGTCCGGCGCCAGCCCAGCGCCCCACAGCCCACACTTCGCGCTCACCGGACCACTACCGCCCGACCACGCCCGGCCGGGCCACACTGTCGGGCTTCGACATGGACGACACATCCACTGAACGTCTGACCATCGGCAAACGGCTACAACTAATGGGCACGGCGCCGTGCTGATGATCATTAGCGTCAGCTGCCTTCGTGAGTGAGGCCGTGCCAGCACCTAGGACGACTAATGCGAGTCAGAAAGACCGGCCGGTACTCAGCCATGGCCGCGTATCCATGGAAAACCATTCTCATGCTGCCGTGCCTATGCTGCCTATGCTGTCTATGCTGCCTATGCGTGCCTATGCTGCCGTGTCTAAAGCAGCGGGCACGTGACATGAACGATTGCAACATCATTTTGACGGGCTGAGACGGCATTTACGCTACAGTCCGACAAATCAGTGTGGTATGAGCCGGCACTCGCCAGGGCCGGGCTAGGCGTCTGGGCCCCGCCGCGGGCCGGGCTAACCTCATGGGGCAAAGACAGCGCCTCGCCGTTGGCCGGGCTGGGTCTCGCAGTGGGCCGGGCTCACCCGATGGGTCACTGGTCGGGCCTCGCCGCAGGCACGTGCCAAACGGGTTAGACAACGGTCTTATGAAATCAAATTAGGCCTTACATAAAACGTAAACTGAAGGCAATTACTCCCGAACTGCTCGGCACCTTGCCAAACATGGTCCCATCACCAACAGTGATGCACAGAACAGTGATGAGAATGGGCTTGGTTGGGAATGTACAATTGTATGGCATGAAGCGATGCTGACATGAAATCAGACGTACATGCTTCTCAGCTCCGCCGATGTGTGGCAGCATCCGACATGGGTGGCGGCACCTTCCGATGATAAAGTTGCCAGGTCGCAAAAACAAGGATAGGTCGAGAACGGTCTTTTCTGCGGTTATTTTATCAATGTTCAGGCGTTCCCCGCAACCGCAATATTGAAAAAGGTTTGGACATTTGGTCCACTTGCTGTTCTCCGCGAGTACATCGACATCTGTCAGCCAGGCTGATGCCTGTTTCCTACACGAGTACTGCTCACGGTCCCGGGCTTCGGAAGGCCGGCAGCGAGCTTTAGTCGGGAGCTTTAGCTCGGCGCGCGGCCGTTTTGTCGGAGCGGAGGTACCGATAACAGCTCAGAGCGGAGGCACCGACAGCCGTTCAGGCCGTACCATCGAGCGGCCACGGCCCGCGGCACACCCTCCACCTGTGTGACAGGTGTACGTGAGCGAGACGGTCCCCTCCCCGCGGAGCAAGCGCCGCCGAGTCGACGCTCGTGGCAGGCAGATGAGACACGACAGCCCAGGCCGCCGCTTCCACCCACCACTGTCACTTGTGTAGCGGGGGCATGCAGGCAAACAGGCAAAAACGCACCGCTCGCCTTCATGTCCCGGCTTGATGTCAGTAAGGCAGCCGCCGACTCAGAGCTGACTGGCATTCCGGGGGGGGGGGGGGGGGATTCTAGCGCGCGCGCCGGTGCCCGCTCGCAGTCCCTGGCGGAAGCCCTGCTCGGCCCAACGTCTCTGAAGCTGTGTACCACGCCACACCAGGTCCACACCAGATCCGCACCAGATCCACACCAGAGCCGCACCAGAGCCGCTCGCCGGCTCGACACGGAGCGGCGCCACGAGACGAGACATGGAGGCGTTGGGCCAGGCACAGAGTACCCTCATCGGGCGAGTAATACTTTAAATCCTCCACAGATATATCAGGATTAAACTGTTGGATACGACAAGTCCAAATGGTAAATGATAGCCCTTGTCATCTTACCCCACAGTCGTCATCTGTATCGGAATGTTCATATTTTTCAGGCGACTGATACCCTTAAGAGTCACGCAAACACCCTAAAAAAAGACACAAAAATCCTTTGAGAGCTTTAGCGTAGTCTGACCCCTGCAGAAGCGCAGCTAACGCGCCACATGCCCCTGTTAAAGCGCACGCCCCACTCCACCCCCGTCATGAAAGAACAGCTTTTTTACCGCAACACTTTGACACCTACATAATTCCACAATCTGATGAACAGGAAAATTATTTTGATCGTTTGACTTTGAGTCTCGTTGACTGCCACGCGCAGCGGTATGTCGCGCACAGCAGTAGTCAGTTGGCGACAGGGCCAGAGGGTGGCCGAGCGCACCGCAGTACGGCACGCAGCTGAGACGACTGTTTTCGGGGTCAACGCATCACAACGTTTACAGCCCGTTACTGCCTTAGGTACTGCACCTTTTGGCGTGTGTAGTGTCTCCCACCTGTTCACAGTGCGTGGGCACGGTGAATTGGCCTGGGATGGGGGCCAATGACGTCATAGGGACGTCGCAGCCCCCGGCTGCGTCGCTGAGTACCCGTTATATCGAGCGTACTGCTTAGTGCTTTGCAGGCGGCACCAAACGAAAAGCGTGCTGGTGCAACTCGAAGCGATACGATGTTAACAATGTTAAGGGTAAAGGGCGTGTCACAAGAGCATGACGGCTAATTGGACATGGCCTTTCTACTGCTCCGGTTCATTTCATTCTTGGAAGTCATGCGTTTTAAAAGATGTTCAGTCATACGAACCATTTCGGTTCAACGTCTGCAAGTATACTTCACATGACCTTTGATGATAACCTAAGTGTGGTGTCACATAATGGACTGGCTGCGAAAAACAGCCTACCAAACGGATCGACAAATTGCATAGGAGCAATCCAAAACAGAAAATGAAATTGCAATTTCTGCAGAAGCGGGAATCGCCGTGCAAACCTTCACTGCTGATGTCATAACTCAGTGGTGTGAATTAAACATCGAGCACGGACCTCAAGATGTGTAAGATGGATCACTTGCCAGGCACTGAGTGTTTGGTGGACGTACCCTGCACGGTTCCATAGCTATTACCAGAATTAAGAGATGCCCTAACCACCCCCCACCATACACATACACCAGGGCACTGGGAGTTAATATTATGGTTTGTTTGCTCTATAGACAATTAGTTCCAGAAAGAGGTAGATCAAGGTCAAGATGGCAGGGGTGCAACGGAAGCGACATTTTTTTTCTTCTGAAAATGACTTGATTTGCACGAAAAATACCTCCAAAATGTGCAATTACGCCACGACGACCTTTCTGCAGAATTATCTGACACAATGCTGCCCGGCTCAGACATGCCCACACAGAATGCCACGTTATAGCCAGTAATAAAGGAAAAGCTTTGTCTGCCTTCACACCATTAAGATATGCTGTTATGAAAGCAGACCACTCGGTAAGCTGGATGTGTAGTTTGATCTGAAATTGTTGAACTCAGCTTGTTTACTTTTGGACGAAGGCCTTCATGAAACATTAATTTTCTCCTACAACATTAAAACATCAGATGTGATGAACTCAGCTCACTTAAAACTATTGATATGCCCTTTATGTGGAAAAGACAGCTCCAGAAGACACAATCTCTCTTAAGCAGATATGCCTCTTCAAGCGTCTCCGTTTGATTACGTTGTTTGATCGTTGTTTTGATTACTTTACTTTTTTATTACAAGGTACGTCTTGGTATTTTGGACGACATTGATTGAGAGCCAATTGACGGTCGTTATGTCCGGAGATCGTGCTCACGAACGCCAGATTTGAACAACTCAACAACTCTATTTTTTAACTTGATCGTCGCATGGCTATTGGAATGGCAGTATTTGAATGATGGCACTATGGCGTTATAGATGCCTGGGTGATATTGAGATAGTCTCCCTGAAATAGTCTGCAAATCTTCGCGTGTAGCTCAGAAAGTAAAGCGGTTTAGGTCTTCAAAAGAGCAGGGCTGTGAACTGCACCGAATGATCTTCAATAATGCTCTTTCACTTCAAAAGCCACCTAAATGCGGAACACTGTCTTAAATAGTGTTTCCACTTATTCGCAGCTGAGAATGATGCGCAACGCTGCATCTCAGATTTTAGGAAGCAGATGCTTCGAATCTTTCAATACGCATGATGCCGTAAGACGTCTCGTCCGGACACGCCTCCTGAATAGGCACATACGGTTTTCGACCTGCGTGTAGCCCTCGACGGATGAAAAGCCACCGGTGCAGACGGTGTTCGAGCTTCGATCGCCAGTTTTCAAGCGTTTACCCTGGAGACGCGCGGAAGTGTTGCTCTCGTCTTTCCAAAGTCGGCCAGAGCCCGTCGACACGGCGGTCTGTGCGGGACCAGACGGGCCGCGGAGCCGCGCGACCGGCAGCAGCAGGTCACCGCCGCCGCCGCTGCCGCCGGTCCGAACCCAGAGGTCCAGAGGCGCTGCGCCGCCCCGCCGCCGCCGCCGGTCCGCCCGCCCGCCGACTGCCCCGTGTCAACATCCGAGCGGCACGTGCAACAGAACTTGTGCAACGTGCCGGGTCACGCACGCAATGTGTCGGCCTGACCCCGGCCAGCCCGACAGTCAGTGACCGTGGCCGCCCCTCCCCTCCACTGACCCTGGTCAGGCCGACAGTCAGTGACCGTGAACGCCCCTCCCCTCCACTGACCCTGGTCAGGCCGACAGTCAGTGACCGTGAACGCCCCTCCCCTCCACTGACCCTGGTCAGGCCGACAGTCAGTGACCGTGAACGCCCCTCCCCTCCACTGACCCTGGTCAGGCCGACAGTCAGTGACCGTGAACGCCCCTCCCCTCCACTGACCCTGGTCAGGCCGACAGTCAGTGACCGTGGCCGCCCCTCCCCTCCACTGACCCTGGTCAGGCCGACAGTCAGTGACCGTGGCCGCCCCTCCCCTCCACTGACCCTGGTCAGGCCGACAGTCAGTGACCGTGAACGCCCCTCCCCTCCACTGACCCTGGTCAGGCCGACAGTCAGTGACCGTGAACGCCCCTCCCCCCCACTGACCCTGGTCAGGCCGACAGTCAGTGACCGTGAACGCCCCTCCCCTCCACTGACCCTGGTCAGGCCGACAGTCAGTGACCGTGGCCGCCCCTCCCCTCCACTTACCCTGGGCGGTGGCCGGTGCGGACCAGGCGACTCTGGCGAACTCGGCGACGACTCAACTGAATGCCGTTTGGCCAGCGAGACGGCACGGCCAACCACGCGGCGCCGCACGCCCAGCGCCAGGCCCGGCTCGTGCGCGCCGCTGCCGCCCGGCCGGCCGCCCAGCCGCGCCGCAGCCTGCCGGTCTGAAACAGGGCCCAGCCGCCGGTCAGAGCTGCTCATCCCAGTCACTGACCTCCACTACCGGCGGCGCGACAGCGGCCTGCTCGCCGCTGTCATAGATCACAGATCGGTCCGCCCGCGCCACTGTTGGCAGTGCTACCACAAAACGTATTGAGTCGGCTCGAGAGCGCCATGCGATTGTGATCAGCAGCATACGCGGCCTCCGTCCCGCACGCGAGCACGAACCGCATTCCTGGATGTGATCCAACCGGTCTTCACGGGAACTCTGCCTAATAACAGCTGAGAGGGATGCAAAACAGTACACTTTCGGATCTACTGATCCAAACACACGGCTAAATGAACTCGGTCATTTACTGGACGATGGGCTGGGACAACGGCCTGTAATCGCTGATCGGACCCGAGTCTGACGAGCTCAGCGGTCCTCAAGGGCGCCATAGCGGCGTTCCCAGGCGGCCGCGGTCATGGCGGAGCTGGGAGCGGGGGTGACGGCCGGCCGCCGAGAGCAGCTCAGACGCTCCAGACGGGAGAGCAGTCAGAGGCGGGCGCGGGCTCAACCACCGAGGGGAAGCTCAGACGCTCCAGACGGGAGAGCAGTCAGAGGCGGGTGGGGGCTAAACCACCGAAGGGAAGCTCAGACGCTCCAGACGGGAGAGCAGTCAGAGACGGGTGGGGACTAAACCACCGAAGGGAAGCTCAGACGCTCCAGACGGGAGAGCAGTCAGAGACGGGCGGGGGCTAAACCACCGAGGGGAAGCTCAGACGCCCCAGACGGGAGAGCAGTCAGAGACGGATGGGGGCTGAGCCGTCGAGTGGAGGCTCAGTAGCCCACATCGAAGAACTGGCCTTCCTCAGCAACAGCAAGCGGCCCAGCCAAGTCCCGACAAGCGGTTTAATTACATAACACCGCGGCCCGTCAACACGAAATTTATGGCAGCTTTATCAGACCCTACACCGTCCTATTAACTGGCGACACTGCACTGAATCAATAGCTTGAAGTACGACACTGCGAACTGTAGGTGGTGGCATGGGACCCTATGCAACGTCGAACAAACGCACATCGGCCCAATGAAACACTTAATACTTTTTAAAAGACATCTGTTCATTAGAGCCCTCCCAGAGAGCCGGCGCAATGTCCTGGCTAAGGCCCGACGTATGGTTGTTGTATGAGAGCCGCCTGTGTCTCGATCTTTCCATCACGTGCCTCGTGTATGCAAACGCCACATTATGTGAGGCGTCTACGCCGCATCGTGTTCCGTGCTATAGCTGTGGTAGCCCGCAGCAGCTCCCTAGGGCACAGCACGTGCGTCGCGGTCAACAGAGCGGTTTGTGGCTGCACGCGACCCATTACCGGCCTGGCGAGCTAACAGCCGCCGTCTGGCGCCAGCGCCGCCTCCCGGCACGGCAGGCTCCAGTCACGGCAGCCGCTCACGGCAGCTGCTCACGGCCCCGCTCACGACCCCGCTCACGGTAGCCGCTCACGGTAGCCACTCACGGCCCTGCTCACAGCAGCTGCTCACGGCAGCCGTTCACGGCAGCCGCTCACGGCCTCGCTCACGGTAGCCGTTCACGGCCCCGCTCACGGTAGCTGCTCACAGTAGCCGTTCACGGCAGCCGCCCATGGCAGACGCTCACGGCCCCGTTCGCAGCCCTGCTCACGGTAGCCGCTCACGACCCTGCTCACGGCAGTCGCTCACGGCCCCGCTCACGGCCCCGCTCACCGGTCGACTCACGACCAGGAGACGGCGGGGACATCACAGCGACGGTTGCTGCAGGCATGGCACTGCAAGCCTTGGCCGCGTCACGACACCGTCACGGTACATGCGACACGGACGGCGTCTAGAGCTGAGTCACCGGATCACGTGCCCTGGACGTGGGACGTGGGACGTGGGACGAGGGGCGGGGGACGGGACAGGGGACGGAAGACGGGGGACGGGGACACTGGGGACGGGGGACGGGGGACGGGGGACGGGGACACTGGGGACGGGGGACGGGGGACGGGGGACGGGGTACGGAGCACGGAGCACAGAGCACGGAGGACGGGAGAACGGAATGGACGGGGAACGGGTACGGAGGATGGAGGACGTGGGACGTCGGACGTCGGACGTGGACGGGGGACGGGAGACGGGGGACGGAGCACGGAGGACGGAGGAAGGGGGACGGAGGACGGTGGACGTAGGGCGGGTGACGAGACTGGGGACGGGACAGGGCTGGCAGCATCGCGCCCCGCCGATGGCTTATGTTGGCGGCAGAGGGCGCCAACTCATCGGTCACCTTGCATACCTTCGAACAACGGCTGTCTTTTGTGAGCCAGCGCCGCGTACCCGGCCGGCCCCTACCGACAGGGCGGCCCGACAGCGGCCGCTTCCAAGAAAGGATGGGTGGCTGGCGGGATCCCTGCGTCTGCCGCCCAGCAGACTGGCCTTTCTTCGCCTCCCGTACTGTGTCTTTCACAGGTGCATCGGACTATGGTGGCCATCGACACACCCCACTGTTTCCAGGTCCGGTGCTTTCGGCTAACTTTTCCGGCTGTTATGAACGGTTCGACGAAATCCAACAACGCACTCATGCCATGGGAACTGGTGCTGTAAGACGTCCTCTGTTCTTCAGTGACGTCAGAGCCTGGCGCTGTCGCTTGCCATCGACAGGCACGTGAGCCACACAACAATGTGCCGGCGCCATCGCTTGCCATCGACAGGCACGTGAGCCACACAACAATGTGCCGGCGCCATCGCTTGCCATCGACAGGCACGTGAGCCACACAACAATGTGCCGGCGCCATCGCTTGCCATCGACAGGCACGTGAGCCGCACAACAATGTGCCGACACCGACGCCTCCGCACACCCAGCCAGCGCTCCGTTCGATACAACGTCCTGAATATGCTAGCCTCGCATTTCAAAGAGGTCAATGGCACGTTCTCCCATGTAACGCCCTTGCACGACGCATCATATACAGCAGAAACGCACCACGAGTGGCGTGAGCATTCATGATCATGGAATCCAAGGCTTAACTTTGTTTGCATGCACTGGCCAGCCTTGATGTGATATTTGTAGTCGTGGCCAAATCTGCGTGGCCCATGCAGCTAATCAACGCACGAGGCGGCGATGGACGCGTGGTTGTTAAACATGGCCACCCGCGAGGTGCGTCGGGGCGCTGAGTTCGGAGAGAGCTCCCTCGCACGCTATTTGGCGTGCGTAGTACCGCCGTTTTCATCACAAAAGAGGGGTGTCACACAGGAGTTCTGCTAATGAACCTTGGCGTACAGTTGAGGATGTCCAACTGCGTTGGTAACCATCAAAAGGTGGATATTTCTGAGGTGGATATTTATATAAAGGTGGATATTTCTGCTTAAACCATGGAATAACACGCATGTAATTAATCTTGTTCCACTTGTCAGCTATTGTTAGGTAGACGAATGACCTTTGTTTGAAGCGCTGTCGCCACCATAAGGCGACACCATAAGCGGAGCTGGCGCAGGCCGCTCCATAATCACTGGATAGCTGGGCTCGCTCCTGTCCACAGCCACCCGACTCTGAGACACTGGCGAGCCCCGGGGCAGCGTACCAAGCCGCCGCCGATAAAACGCGCCTGCTCAGCATCAGCTGGCCTCTGCTCTAGATATGCATGCTGACCACGCCCGCGCCGGGGGTCACCAGATCGGCGCGCCCCATCACCGGCCCCTGGTGCCGTGTACGGCCACGCCCGCCAGGGGTCACCAGGTCAGCCCGGTACAGCCCCACCACCGGCCCCTGGTGCCGTGTGCGGTCATGACCGCCAGGGGTCACCAGGTCAGCCCGGTACAGCCCCACCACCGGCCCCTGGTGCCGTGTACGGTCATGACCACCAGGGGTCACCAGGTCAGCCCGGTACAGCCCCACCACCGGCCCCTGGTGCCGTGTACGGTCATGACCACCAGGGGTCACCAGGTCAGCCCGGTGCAGCCCCACCACCGGCCCCTGGTGCCGTGTACGGTCACGCCTGCACACAGCGGTGCACGTTTGCACAGCTGGCGCTGAAGGCTTGCTGAGGCGGCCCGGCGGCCACTTGGGCCGCCCCGGCGCTGCCCGGCGAGGCGGCCGGGGCAGCATCGGCCCCGGGTGGTGACTTAGACCGCTCCGGAGCTGCCCGACGAGGCGGCCGGGGCAGCAGCGATCCGGGGTGGTGACTTAGACCGCTCCGGAGCTGCCCGGGGAGGCGGCCGGGGCAGCAGCGGTTCCGGGTGGTGACTTCGACCGCTCCGGAGCTGCCCGGGGAGGCGGCCGGGGCAGTGACTTAGACCGCTCCGGAGCTGCCCGGCGAGGCGGCCGGGGCAGCAGCGGTCCAGGGTGGTGACCAGACCTGTGTCCGACGCGAGCTGAGTCGTGAGTTGGCTCACGAACCAGTCGCGCAAGGGTGAGCGGCGGGCTGAGGCGGCTCGCCAGGAAAAGTGCCGCTTTGGGCCATGACCCGGAGTCTATTTGTCGTAAATGTCATGAGCTGAACCATGGGCTGATCATTTCTAACAATGTCGTGTCCGTGAGTCATATGGCTCGAATTAGAATGGCAACATGAGGAAACGCCACGCCTCATACGAATTTACAGACCATGTTCGAGTGTTAAAACGGACGCCATGCGACATCAGTTATAAGCCGTTTTGCAAAGCCAGCACAATCTTATTTATTCATTTCTAAGCAGCAAGCACAACATTGTTGATCCAGATCTGAACATTGCCAAATCTCAGCAAGGAACTAGATGATATCGCATGGTGTAGACATTCTACATGGGTCTACACTTATGGGTCTGGGTCGTAGGTGCCAAGCAGAACACGCCAGCCTGGAGCTAACACTTGAGAGAGCTTGTTGGTAACACGTTACAGTAAAGGGATTGTTTGCTGCACGCATTGGCTGGGTTAACTACAAATTTCCTTCTAAGCTATTTGTGCCGATTTCCATGTTATATATATATATATATATATATATATATATATATATAATGCATGCTTGTATGTATATATGAATGAATGAA